AAAGGTACATGAGTGCTGAATAATGTAGTTTTCGGGAAATGAGAAATTAAAAAAAACAGCAAAATCAGTTTAACTGTAATTAGTAGTGTATTTAGTAAACCTTCCCTCACTAAACCGCGCGTAACTTCAAAACTACTCATCAGATCAAGTAAAACTTGGTCTGAAATTAAACGTGAGGAGTAGGAGATTAAGATTAGCCAGAAAATAAAAAAAAAAAAAAAATTTTTTTTCAATTTTCAAGTGGCTGGCTCCCCTTAAATGGAGATAGCCTCCATGCACGCTGGGCTTGTCGAATTCCTTTGACATTTTTGCAGTATTGAATGCACGGCTGAAGTGCGCTTCAGCTAGAATGGTATTTAGCAAAAATGGGTAATTTTTATAGGAGGATTATAAGTAAACAAGTGGTTAGAAATGGAAACAAAATAATTTGAACTATGCAAAACGATAATCCGGGTTTCGGAACTTGGTTGTTTTGAAAACGCCTTCAAATGCAGCCAGATACCTCACGCGTTCCGGAGAGTTCAAATAGTTGTATTATTGCGCCGTAAGAATGTGACGGAAGATTTAAATGGAGATAGCCTCCATGCATGCTGGACTTGTCGATTTCCTTTGACATTTTTGCAGTGGTGAATGCATGGCTGAAGTGCGCTTCAGCTAGAATTGTATTTACAAATAGGTGGTATTTCTACGAGGATTAAAAATAAACAAGTGGCACGGAATATAACAAAAGAATATGAACTATGCAAAACGATAATTTGGGTATCGGAACTTGGCTGATTTGAAAACGCTTTCAAATGCGGTGTGATACCTCAAGCATTCTGGAGAGTTCAAATAGTTGTATCATTGCGCCGTAAGAATGTGACGGAAGATTTAAATGGAAATAGCCTTCATGCAGGCTCGCCACATCCCATCTCGGGCCCTGGTACCGCAGTTTTAAAGGTCCGGGCTCCAAGCACGGAGGGGGAGGTGGGTCCGAAGGGCATCCCCCGAGAAATTTTAGAATGTATACGACTAATTGGACGCATTTTGATGCTTCCGTAAATAATTTTTCCATCAATTTCTGCGGAATAATTTTTTTTTTTTTTTTTTTTTTTTATCCTTTCAGCACAAAATACCTGCGAATTGTTGCATTCAAAACATCTGGACAAATTTTATTTTTTTCTTGGGGAGAGGGCATATGATACTATTTTCAGTTCTATGAGGGCCAGGCCCTCCTGGACACCCCCTTCGTTTGTCTATGGCAAGGGAGTTGAGCCATGAGCTATTGAAGTCGAGGATGCTCAGACTCGAGACTCTCAGCAGCGGACGACGGAAGAAAATGAAACGCAGTTACTAAAAATATCCCTCTATACTGAAAATCTTGAAAATAGATAGAAATTTTCCAAGAAGTATTCTTCTTTGAAAATTTAAGAAGAATTGTACGGTGCCCCAGCGTGTTTCTGAAAATCTTTTCACCTTTTGCGAAATTTTTAGGGTAAATTTTTCACTTTTTCTTACGAAACAAAGGTTGCACGTGAATTCGTAGTGGTTTTTCACGGGTAACACGGGGCCTCGGTACCAGGGACCCCCCCCCCTTGTGGCGGGCCTGGTTTGGGCCTTTTTTTGAACTTTTCTCCCGAATCTGCAGAGCGACACCTCATTGACAGCATAAAGCAGAGCATCGAGAGCTCACGCTTCGCGTCATAGCGCCTTCAATTTTTCAGATGCAGCACGGACGTCCATCAAGTACGAATAGTTGTATCTCTGCGCCGTCGTAAACGCGCATCCTTTCCCTCCCTTTATTTCCATATTATGTTTGTTTGCGCGTGCTTGTCTTATTCGTAATGGTGCTTCAAGCACATTTCTCGGTTTCTGAGATAATTTTTCGTGTTTTGAATGTGCGCATCGTATTTCATGCTTCATTTACCTTCGGAATAATGTATTTGCAAGTCAAAATTCGTTCATGGTTTAGTGATTCATCATTCCGCAACGCATCCCTCAATATTAAACGTAGGTACCTATAAATGCAAGTGAGTAAGCAGTAAAATTGCATTCGATGGGCGTTGTGACTTGAAGTTTTGTAGTACGAACACCTCTTTACCGGTAGCAATCACTCAATTTTGAGTTTTCGTGGACCAAGGTCTCTTGCTTTCCTTATTGATGATCTTAAGCCATGAAAATCTAAAGGCACGACGTATTCTCCTTTCCTCAGAATAATTTTGATGTAATTCCTATCAATGGGGATTACACGATATCTTCCCATCATGCTTTATTCGATTAAACAAGTCTTTATTACTCATGAACGGTCATGATGAATCATCAGACAATATTGACTTGTGTCCAGCTCATTTCTGATCCTTTTTTTACGTAAGTCTCCTCTTTTTTTCTAAAAAAAAAAGAATCAAATTTAATCTTCTCTGACTGCTCAATAGTCGCAACCCTTATGTAATTTCAAGGTAAGTAATTTTAAAGGGTTTTTTTCGCCGAATCTTTAAAATAATAACATTGAATTTTATCATTATAGCAAAGGCTTGGTGGAACGGGTGAAATCAAACGTGAGATAGAGGTAAATTTAAGAGGTTGCAATTTTTTTTTTTTCAGTCATTTAGGCGTTTTTTTTATCTCTCATTCTCTGCCCCCGCCACCTTTTTTAGCAAAGGTTTTTAGGCGTTTCAGGGACAAGTGCCCATGGACGCAACTTGAAAACACGTGATGTATGAAACGCAGACTATTATATCGATGGTGAACCCTTCAAACCAAGTATCTCGTATGCGGTATTTAAAAATCTCCGTTTCTATTTTATTTTTTAAAGGAAAAACAAATCAGTATCATCCTTCGCAGTTCTCACAGGGTTTTCTTTGCACAGAGTAGAAAAACACAGAAGTTTTCAAGAATTGGTTTTTGAGTAGTTGAAAAGGAAGTCTGCAACGTCTCAAATCGAGACACGTGGTCTTGTAGTCTCATTGTCGATATGCGCTGGATAACGCTGCCCTGCTAAGGAAAAACGCCGTATGAACATTCGAGAGCTGCCAAATTTTCTTCACTAAATTGTTCATTATTGCGGAAATTTAAAAATATTCTGCCCTGAAATTTTTAGAAACTTAGAGTGAAATTGCGAACAAAATTATTTGTAAAGTTGGGGAAAAAATCTTCATAAGTTTACCGGGAAAGTCGTGTTTTATCATTGGAAATTTGGCAACGCCTGCAGGTTTATACGGCGTTTTTCCTTAGTGCGGCAGAACGAATTTTTCTGATGTCCTCAACGTATCTTACTTACAAGTTTACTCTTTCAAAGCGTGTCCACGATTAGTTGGACTGCATTTTGCAATTAGGAACTAAAATTTCTGGCTCACTGTATAGGAACAGCGTATGTACCATTAGTTCCCCTATGCACACAAGTGTTTTTACGGATGAACCAGAAATTTTCATACAATTTTATTTATTTTTTTTTATGAGCGATTTAGTTGTATCTCGTGTGTGCATCAGACCTGTTCACTAACTTGAAAGTAATAAAAGAAACGTACGGAAAATATGCATTCCAGTCTATTGCTAGTACTTCTTTAAGCAAATAATCTCGCACAGATTAGATCAGACACTGATAACTCACTTCAAGTGGTGAACTTGAATAACGTTATCAATGGAAAATAAAATTAGAGAAAAAGTCAAATTACTCGCAGGTATATACACAGACATGCTAGTTCTTTCCGTCGACCTGAGTACAAGGAAGACTGCAGTCGTGCAATATAGTGATAGTTTTCGATAAGTAGATCGTTTATTCACCCTAAACTCGCAATTATTGTTGAATTTTTTTACTTTTCGAGTACAGGGCGGCGTGTATCATTAAAAGGTGCGCGGTAAACATAAAAATTAAATTCTATGTTTTCGCCAATGGGAGAGACCCAATTAAAAGTATTCTGAATAATGCCGAGATGATGTTTGATTTTTTTGAAGACTGTGCTTCGATTTGGTGTAATCTTCGTAGAAATTAAAATGTTCAGCTGGCTTAATGGCTGAATCTGTTCCCATGGAATTGAATATTTTCAGATTCTGAGTAATTAATAAAAAAGGTAGGCCTTTGAAAAGTTCTATGAAATGTTTTTACTTATCGTTATCGTTACATTTACAACGTTAACTGGGATTCGCTTTTAACTTTTAAAGTAAAATATGCTGAGCGACGCGACGTCAATACCTACAGCGTAATTTATTCACAAATTCCTGGTATATCTATTGTTCAATGACAGGAATCTCAAGAGCTAGTATCGATTCACGATTTAATCGGTTGTGGATTAGACATTTTTGCAGTGATGAATTGGAAGGGGGGGGACATTGTCTGCAAAGAATCATTTCGTGGTGAAACTACCAAACCACATATCTCGGATTGCGACGTTGCAGACTTCCTGTCATACTTTCTTTTTTGAATGGAGAATTACTCAGCGTCCATTTTTGAAAATTCCCCTGATTTTTCTTCTTTGTGCGGGGCAAATTATGAAAAAACTCCAAGGAGATATGTTTATTATTTCGCCTCTAGAAAAGTAAAACAGGAGCGGGGATTTTTAAACACCGCAAACGAGGTAAATGGTGTGGGAGTTTCACCGTCTATTCGCTCTTCAATCAAGTATATAGTATGGTGGGGTGTTAAGCCCATTTAAGTGCTCTAGCTCTGATCCCCCTCCCCTCCCATTCACGTGGGAGCTAGTAAGATACTCACCCTGTAGTTGAAACGTCTTAAGTGGCCCCTCGTCATTTTTTAAAAACATTGCTACGCAATTTTTTTCGGTTGTGTATAAGAAAGTCTATTATAAATGATGCCATTTATTCTCTGCAGACAATTCCTGCCCCCTAAAAATATACGGCTTTGTTTAGGCATCTGGGAAATGACAGTAAAAGCTTGAGCGAATCACAGGTGTAGCTGTGAAAATTTTCTNGGGGGGGGGGGGGGTTATGGGATCATCCGGACGAGGAGTCCAATGGTTTTAAATAACCATATATGAAGTCAAACTTTTTCTGGGGGCCAGTCTCAAGCACTCTGGGGACTAACCATCTCAGGACTTCGCCCTCCTTCCCCCTTCCCCAATTTTTGCCTGTGGGGCGATTCACCACTGATGCAGAATAAAAGTCGCAACAGCGTGTTTGCAGATAGTGTTTTTCAGCCGAGTGCTTATCAAGCGTTGATTAGGTCAAAGAAAGTATTAAAATCACATGCGTTTTATCAAAAAGCTTCTTTTAGATATCAAACACCTTATATTAGCATATTCTTACTTTGTGTCGTCTTGAGGACAGACATCATCTCTCTGTGACGAATGTAAACGATCGTGGCGAATTTTTCGCGTTCCAACGGTTGACGTTACTTCAGTAAATTTTAAGCGCCCGAGCATTTAATTTCTCGCAAGTGAATTAGTGAATCTGCAATTTACATCGAGTTTCTACTTATACTTTCCCTTTTTTTAAAAAGTGAATTATTTATAAGGACACATTAAAATTTTAATCTTAGGAATATGATCTCCTGCAACATATTAAGTTTTTTCTATTGAATACCTACCATCCAAATGCCACGAGGAATTTAAGTTTTTAGATATGGGCACCATTGTGTCCAGTTTTCAGCGCCCTTGATGGATCAGAATTGCTCGGCCGGCGAGGTATCTTACTGATTTGTTGAAGACTTGGATGAAATTATAATTTCTGCATCCACTCATCCTCTGGAAAGTGATTCCATTCTCTTGGGTCCAAACCTCTGAATAAAATCGACAGGAAAGTGGAAACAATTAGTGTCTACCTACACATTGGAAGTGATTTTTTGTGACTTAGGCTTACACAGAAAGTTGTATTGAATAGTTTCGCAAAGCATGTACTTAACGGGATCAACGCACAAAATTTTCAAACGCGTTTTGAAAAAACTGGACGCCAATCAAAAATTTTTCTGGCGTTGGCTGTGACTTCGCCTCAACCTACTGATCCAAAACTTTCAGAACCGTAAACTATAGAAACAGCACTATTTATTGACTTATTTCCAATTCGCGTGTTTATCTCGTAGTTGTAATCTAAAACTGTGATATTTTATGTGCGCTTCCATCAAACTAGAGAAACTCCACCTCCTTTCATCATTCTCATCGGCAGACAGTCCAGCAAGCATGCCGTCTTCGACCGATAAATTTCATAGTCGAACTAGCCATGGATCAAAACAAATGTGGTAACAAATACAATTACTAAGCAAACAAACATAACAGTAAACCAATCATCATTGTAATATGAGCTTTGAAACCTTTGCGTTCCGTATTTATGCATCGATATGAACTTATGATGTTCCCAAATGTCCGACGTCTTTATTGACTCGCTCCACTGAGCGCCGCTAGTGAAGCGCTTATAGCGTCTCTTGTCAAGACGCCTTCATTTTCGTGCGTATGCAACACGGACATCCATAGAGCCCGAATAGTTGCATCCAGGCGTTGTAATCAGTGGCGTGGCGTGCTTTGCGATATGTCGATTGATCGGCCATTTAAACCTATGGAAAGGTATCGATAAACAGGGTGTTCGCAGCGAACACCTTAATAATCGATTATTTACCACAGCTTCAAATGGGAAGATATCGATGGATCGCAAAACGCCTTGTCACTGGTTGCAATAAAGTTCGTTTAGTATCCGTCAAGTGCGACAATATCTGAAGTTTTGATTTTCTCTTTCATCTTAAATTAATTCCAGCGTTGCCTATTTTGCCGATGAAGTGAATCATTACTGACTTTTATCATGACATTGTCAATGTTCCGTGGAATGCATCAGTTTAATGTATTACAACGATGCCGGCCCTCGAAATCGCAAAAAGTATAAAGTATCAGAGCATGATACTGTCAAGTTTTCATTGACTTACTTTAATGCGTTGTCCTTTGTTTGGATCTTTAGTTGTTGTTTTTCCTATGGGAAGCCTAATATTGACGTTTAAGTGCGAAATTGTCCGAGGACAATCCTGACGGATCGCACGAAATCGCGAACAAAAACGATGACCATTCATCTTTCGAAAAAATGAAATACGACAGGCAATTTGCTACATCACAAGCCCGAATACACGATGATTTCTTTATTGTAATCGCGAAACTGTAGCACAACAAAGGCTGGTAAATGTACGCACATTAGAAAAAATTACATTATGTTCTGCTCTTTTCCCCCTAAAATGTGGGCTGCGTCTATAGTTTTCTTCCTCATTTTGTCTAGTGGTCCATTTAGTTTTTATTTCTCATTTGATGAAGTAGACAACTATTTTAGAAACAAAATACTGTTCACTATTGAATTAATGTGCTATCAAAGTCTTGCCACTTGCTATATTTCATCTTATCTACCCTCCAGTTTTTTTTTATGTATAGAAATACCACTTGCTTTCGGCATACGTAATTGAGTAAGGCATTCTCATATACATTTATTTTCTTTGTTTTTCAGTATGGTTCCTGGTTTGCGATGCTACTTCCAGAAAAACAAGGGTCTTATTCGTCAGCTTCTTGCTGGTTTAACAGGTACGAATTTAATAGCTGCGTTTAAGGCATGTTGCAATGGCATGTCTTGCATGTTGCAATTGCATGTCTCACATGTTGTCATTGCATGGTTTCATTCCACTCACACAAACAACTGCTAGCATATATTCATCGGGTTTGCTGACAAAAAAGTCTGAGACTCAGTAGGTGATTCAATATAAATTTCAGAATTAAGTTATTTTATCTTACCTAAATGCAACTTTTTAAAATCACAACCTTCCAAATATAGTGAGTTAATAAGTAGGCTCTTCGTTAAAAGTGAGGCATAGCCTATCGATCAAAGTACTTGAAAACATGTTCCGGAGGGTAATTTTAAATGTCTCTTTTTTTCTTAATCTAAGGAAATTTAATTTTGTGATGGTCCAAGAGAGGTTAAACGTCCACAGAGACCCAAAAATTTGTTTCTTGTGAAAAGTTCACCAAAGCTCCCTTGCTCTTCCGAATTTTTCCTCCTTCAAGATTGAACATGAAGGAGTGTCAAAAATTACCCTTGATTACCTACCGATATCCATCTAGTTTAATTCATCTGCGTTGTCATAGTGTTTAAAAAAATATTGAAACTTTTGGGTTTGTAGCTCAAAGGATGAGCGTATGTTGCGTAAATTGCAATTCACAAGGAAAAATCAACGGCTAAGGCTTTGTAACTGGTTTTGAAGCAACCGAAACACAGGATGTTTAGAAAAAGCCCTGAACAATTTTCCTTACAAAAATTTGGATTATTCGGGTCAGCCACTTTGTCTCACTCTGCCGTGCTAAGGAAAAACGCCTAGTGAGCCTGCAGACGTTGCCAAGTTTCCTCAGATAAAAACCGAATGCACTGGGAAAATTCTGAAAAATATTTCCCAACATTTTCAGACAATTTTGCACGCAATTTAATCTAAAATATCTGCAAATTTCGAGGAAAAATATGCATAAATGTTGTCAAAAATACTTGTTTTGTCATGGGAAAGTTTGCAACTCTTAAGTGTTCAGACGGCGTTTTTCCTTAGCACGGCAGCACTACCACGAGCACCAATAAGCATCCAATCTCCTATTGATCTTATTATAGGAATGAGCTTAGCTATTATTGGCAAAAACATATTCCAGCACTCGTTGAAATAAGACTTTATCATGCTATTTGCTACGTCCGTAGATAGCGCTCAAAAAATTGGCGAATTTTTCAACAAATCAGTAGATGAATGGTTGGATTATTTCAACGGTGTGATAACGTGACTCTAATGCGCCTGATTTTGCCGTTCGTAGCATCTATGATACTTGGAAATTGATTATTGTGACTTCTGTCCGAGGTGGCTTGAAACATTCGCGCGCGCTCAACGTTTAACAGCTATCGCTTTCACTAATTTGTCAGGTTTTTAATTAGCTTTGCAATAATCTGAGAAATATTTTCAACTCCGCAGACTACAGAGAGCTCTGAGTTGGCCCGCAGGCCCTCTCTTTTTTATTTAGGTGTTTGAAAAGAGCATGATAGCGGTAAGTGATGAGCGATTTGGGGACACCACTAGATAATTTCCTATCAATTAATTTGTAAACTGTTTTGCTGCCAGCTGCTTAACGCACAATGTTCGATACTCCTAATAACAATTATGATGTTACATACATAGACGGTGGAACTCCCGAACCGCGTATCTTGTTTTATTTTTATTTAAATCTCCGCTACTCTTATATTTTCTTTTGAAAGAGTACTAAATGAACATCATCCCACACTGAAAAAAAAATAGTTAGCGTTGAGAACTAATTTGGTTAGTTCTCGCCAAGTAGAATCAAAATTAGGCTTCAGAACTAATTTATTGTACTGAAGCACCGATCAATTCGCTCCATACGCTGACTTGACTTTACTAGAGCACGAACCAGAATTGGAAAACAGCACTAACAGTAAAATCAGCGCTGTGGTGAAACAAATTCACCTTCGGGTCAAACTAATTCGCCCTCAACGCTAACTCCCACATTTTCCGTTACATTTATTTAGTTTCGAAAAAATGGCGTCGGTACAACAGCCTCAATCGCGTCAGCTCGTGAAAATCAATTAAAATGTGAAATTTCGGGCTCGTTCACAATGTAAATACTCCCGGTATGATTTATAGTGTCCTCTCTTTCTTGAAAACGTTCGAAAGCAACATAAATAAACCTGAAGGTTGCCGGCCAGGTTGGCCTAGTGGTTAGCGCGTCTGACTCTAGGTCAATAGGTCCCGGGTTCGAATCCCGGTGGTGGCGACAAATTTTCATGGAACTGACGAGTGGATCTGTAAGCAGAATTCGCTCGGCCTTAATCCGTGAAAATTTGTAAGCCCGAGCATGGATGTCTACCAAACTCCCCTGATGTCTTCGGTCAATAAATAGTGCCTATAGATGGCTGTAGATTCCTAAAGGAATAGAAGCCACTAAACTCTCAATAAAAAAAAAAAAAAAGTTTTGAGGTTAGGTTGGCCCAACCCTACCGAATTCGATCTCGAGAATTAGAGTAGCGGAATTAGTTTCCAGCACTAATAGTGGTTAGTGTACAGAAACCAAAAATCATGTGTGTCCAAATCACAAAATTTGAGTTAGTGTTTAGAAACCATTTTTAGTCATCTGACGCTAACTCATTTTTTTCAGTGCATGAAGTTAGTTTGAAATTTATTTTGCACAGAGAAGAAAAATCACGGAAGTTTTTCAGAATTGTCGTTGAGTATTTCTCCGTTTGAAATATAAAGTCTGAGAGAAAGTTTGCATCGTCGCTAACGAAGAAACGTGGTTTGGGAATTTTATCATCGACATGTGTGCTTATTGGTGCTCTCCTAAAATGGATCCTCATTTTAAAAGGGCTTAAGACAGAATTCTTAATCTTATTCACCGAGCTGCTTGTAAAGTGACATGAGATAGGAACCCTAGAATTTTTCATTACATTTTTAGAGAGGCCAAGAATATGATTTTAGGCACAGAGGCACAGAGTGTTCTTCTCGCTAGAACTTTATACAAAATTACATCGATTTATATGTTTTTTTAGGGAATCTTCAACGGGTGATTTTCAAAACTTCATCAGATGCTCAAAGAGCCTGTCAAAAAAAAAAAATGATCTTTTGCCATTCCTTCTTGGAAACGCAGGGCTTTCGTCCAAATCTATCCTTTATGATGAGACAATTCTCCAGTGAAAATTTAGCTTGAGTTCAAAGCCACACCATTGCGAGGTTTGCATTTATCACAAATTAAAAATGTTATTTCTTGAAGTTGCTCGGTCAATTGGGAACAACTTGACTCGATATTTTTTTTTTTTCATTTTCTGAGGCACAATGTTATCAATTGGACGTAGTTCTGTCAAACGGAACTATATAGCTACGGAACCTTAGGCGCGTCTGGACGCGACGTCCTGGACGCCGGCGGAAAATGCTGCTACCGAGTCGAGGGCAAGAAGACGCTCACATTTTGGAGCACGGCACCTTAGGAGCGGAATCCGTGGATTTTTTCCGCTCTGTCCGCCGTCAATTTCTCGAAATTTCGTTGATCGGACAGTATGCTCTGGGCCGCGAAAATGGCTGTACGCGCTTTTTTTTAGGAGGGTGTGGATTCGATCGACAAAAATCGACTGAAAAATAAAATCGTGAATCGATCGACACCAATCGATGGACAAATTACTAAAAAACGGGTGTCGATTCGATCGACAAAAAATGTGGATCGATAGACGAGAAATAATTGACAATTAAAAGGAAAACCGGTATCTAGTCAATCGACATGAATCGATCGAAAAACCAAAACGTGAACAAATCGACGTAATTCGATCGATTCACAACTTGGTCGATCGATTCACGGGTTTGTCGATCAACTCACAGGTTAGTCGATCGACTCATAGGTTTGTCGATCGATTCACAGGTTTGTCGATAAACTCACAGGTTTGTCGATTTATCCACGGTTTTTGTCGATTGATTCACGGGTGGGTCGATCGATCCACGGCTCTTGTCGATCGATTCACAGAATTTTCGATCGATTCGCGGCTTTTGTCGATCAATTCACGGCCTTTGTGATTGATTCGTGGGTTTGTCGAACTAAACACATTTAAAAATCGGTAGGAGAGGCAGCGGACTGAGCGGAATTTCTCGGCGTCTTCGCTCCGATCTGTTCGCGACAGATCGGAGCGTCCTCGATCGGCGTTTTCCGCAGCGTCTCTTCGCCGCTAAGGTGCCGTCCCCGCGCAAAAATCATTAGACAGATTTATCGGCGTCTGGACGCCGCGTCCAGACGCGCCTAAGGTTCCGTACCTTATGTGCTCTATGACGTGAGTCCTGTCAAGCATCTATCGTTATGGGTCTCAAGGCTCATGTCTTAGTGCACATACTTCCGTTTGGCAGAAATACGTTCAATTGAAGTTACTCGGAATTTAAGATTTTTGTGGACACTACGATTTAGCAATCAATCATGATAAAGCGTTGAAAATTAGATTTGTACATCGTACATGGTGTCCATTCGTGGCGGGGTGTCATGTCGGTCGATGTCTAAGTCCGCGGGGTTGAACCGACCTTGAAATAACGGAGAAAAGAACGTGGCACGGGTGGTTTGGAACATCTTGTGTAAACTTTGCAACGCTGTATCACGACTGATCGGTAGATCGTAGTGTTAACACATGCCGTAATCCCTGAGCAACATCAACTGATGAAACTGTGCCACGTAAGGTAAAAAAAGATCGATTAAAAATGTTTTCCAACCGCAGAACTTCAAAGTATTAGCGTTTTCTAATTTTATTTTTTAAATGACATTCACGTATAACGAGACGGGGCGGGGCTTCTTGTTATAATATCTAAGTTCAAAGTAACAATGCATTCAATGTTCATAATGAGGCCCTAATACAACTATTCACACTCTATGGACACGAGTGTTGCAAACGAGAAAACGGAAGGCGTTCCGGTCACTCAAGTCCACGATGTCGTGCTCCTAGCAGCGTGTATCTTGCCGTTACGAGAATTTATCTGATGGCTAATGGAGATGTTGCATGTGTGAGGAATTTGCGATTTGACTGTTGATTCTTATGTAAAAGTTCGCGAGAAACACGATGGTGCCACTGGTTTTCTCTGAAATCAACTCCCAAGCTCAAAAGAAGCTCTTAAGTTGAGTTTAAAATGGAGGGGACATCCCACGCTATCCTGAGAGTCCACCTCTACATCAAGACAAACTCTCCATGCAAAGATAGGGAGCAAATACATTAGCAGGGTTGCCACTTTATTTGGGGACTCCAAAATTGAAAACACAGCAACCCTGCTAATGTATTTGCTCCCTATCTTTGCGTGGAGAGTTTGTCTTGATGTAGAGGTGGACTCTCAGGATAGCGTGGGATATCCCCTCCATTTTAGCCTCAACTTGAGAGCTTCTTTTGAGCTTGGGAGTTGATTTCAGAGAAAGCAGTGGCACCATCGTGTTTCTAACGAACTTTTACATAAAAATCAACAGTCAAATCGCAAATTCCTCACACATGCAACATCTCCATTATCTGGGAACCAAGCAGAGAGGACAGGGAATGATATCTTTGCATCATTATCACATACTAGGGGGCTACGCCCCCTGGCCGCTACGCGGCCCAACCCCCTGAAGGCGCTCCGCGCCATCAATGGGCCGCTTCGCGGCCCTATTTTTACCCTCCTATCGATGTTAGTTTTATTTTTCCCCTAAAAAATTACGATATGAGGTATACTTTACTTTCAGAATGAAATAATTTTTGGTTTTGATGAATGAAGAAACAAATTTTTTTTTTGAAGTCTAACGGACGCGTTTTGGAATGACTGCTTGATGAAATATTGCAGTAAAACAACGAACATTGATAATCAGGTAATAATTAATTATAACTGGAGACGGGGATCGAACCCACACCTTGATCTTAGTGGAAGCATCCGACGTCTTTGACGACTCGGCCACCTCTCGTCTTGTAAGTCGCAGGTACGAATCTTGTGTAGATAAGTGTAGAGCTGATGCGCAGGCTACACAGCTACTGCGCAACCTCCTCGACCACTGCGCATCCTCCCGCGCATAGCGGTAGCAGTCTCGGAGCATTCTGAAAATTCACTCACTATTATAACGTGATTGTAAAAAAACCTGGGTCCTATTTCCAAAATCTGAATAGAGCGGGCTCATCTAGGGCCAATTACCCGTCGATTTACGCAAAAATTATGGAAATCGGCCGGTAGAACGCTCAAACGAACTATGACAAAAAGTATAAATTTACATTGCTTAAATGGGAGAATTCGCAACTTTACCACGTAATATAAAAAAACCTGGGCCACATTTTAAAAATCTGAAAAGAGTTGGCTAATCTACAAACAATTGTCCGTCGATAGCCGCAAAAATCATGAAAATCGGCCCGGTAGAACGCTGGAACTAAGCGTCACCAGTTTCGCAAAATTAGGAGGTCTTGGAGCTTATAGTATAGATAGAGAATAGATGGAAGATGGACGTATTTCCATCAAACGGAACTGTGTGCATTATGACGTGAGCCCTGTTATGCATATGTATATTCTTATGGGTCTCAGGGCTCATGTCTCAATGCACATCGACGGTGAAAGTCGGCAATCACATAACTCGTTTGCGGTGTCTGAAAATCTCCGCCTCTACGTCATTTTTTTAAAGGAGAACAAATTGATATTATTTCTTGAAGTTTTTGCAGAATTTTCTTCGCATTGAGAAGGAAAATCATGACAGTTTTAAAGAATTGTCGTTGAGTAGTTTTCCATCTAAAAAATAAAGTATGACAGGAAGTCTGCGACGTCGCAAACCGAGTTATGTGATTGCCGACTTTCACCGTCGACGTAGTTCCATTAGGCAGAAATACGTGCATTTTAGGATATTATATCCCACCGCCACACCGAGTCGTCACAGCAGCATGTAGCTGCGAGCACTGCTTCATGGGCCAGAATAACCGGAGCGCCTTCAATTTTTAGAATGCAACACGGGTGTCCATAGAGCATGAATAATTGCATTAAGGCGTTACATCATTGTTTTAGGCTCAGATATCATTCCAGAAGCGTTAAGGAAAAACGCCGTATGAACGCTGTAGGGTCGTCAAATTCCCTCCGATTAAATATGAATCTCCTGGAAAATTTTTGACCTTTCATTTTACATTTTTAGTTGGTTTTGTGCGATTGAATCTGATGCTGCTGTTTCAAGGAATTAGGTATGTTCCTAACTGTCTTTCAGATCAATTTTTGTCGGGACAAATTTGGCAACGTCCGAATCTTCATACTGAGTTTTTCCGCCGAGGCAAACTTGCTTTGACGGCAGCCGAGCCCTGCACGGCTGAGACAACTTGTTTGAACTTGGCAATGCCGCATCACGATAGATTGCTGGATCGTAGTTTTAACAACTGTCTCAATTTATGAGTAACAACAACTGATAAACTTAGTTCCCATTAACCCTCTATGACATGAATTCATTTTGGATGCCAGACTCTGGAGGACACTAATCTATTTTGTAGCCTGCATTAAATACATTGAGTATCAATTTTGTATCCAAAATTTAAAATTTTGGGGAATCAGTTGTTCAGAAAATGAAAAAAACTAATGAAATTTTTGCACCATCATGCCTCAAAGGAAATATTCAATTTTTAAAAACTCAAAAAATATGTTGTTACGAATCCGCAACGCTTTGCCAAGAATACTAAACAGATCGACTAGGTACAGTTGTTTTTTAAAAATATTTTCAAAACCTGGTAAAAAATGTAAACTTTGTGATGATGTATTGCTAAAACTCGTATTGAACTCAAGCTTATATTTTCACTGGAGGATTGTCTCACCGTAAGGTTTCGTTAGGGAAGGATTTAAAGGGAATTCCTGCGTTTCGAGAAAGAGAGCACTTTTTGGCAGGCTCTTTTGGTGTCTCTAAAAAAATGGGCTTTTCATCTGCAAGATCTTTTTCATCTGCTATTTCAGAAAACTTCATTTTAAAAATTCCGATTTCATTTTCAAACAATTGTCACCGATCTCAAAACACATCACATGCACATCTGATAGCATAAATGATCCATATCCCATATTCATGTGGATCCAAGCCAATTAAGGAGTAAGGTGGAAAACGGCCAAATCTGGGAAAATGGCATTGTGAGATACAAGCTGTTGGACATTTCACTTTCGTGTAACATTCCTTTAGGTCATGCTAACGGTTTGCATGTTGTACCATAGGTTTACCTAAAACCTGAAGTTTAAGTCGGTACAACTGAAATGCCATTTGGCATCATTGGAATCGAGAAATTTTAGAAATATGGAAGGTCTAATTTAGCCGTATTTCTATTGAACAATCTGTTACACAGACACAAGTCGCATTTTGGAACGCTTGTTACTAATACTCTCCTTCCAGTAATTGCATTTTTAGACTGAAAATTTAATTATCTATTTAAATCTATGTTTATTTATATTTCTATCTATTATTTTTTAATAGAAATGGAAATTTTGTACACATACTATCAAGTATATATATAATTTTTTTTTTTTTTGTACGTGTCATCGGAACTTGCCGTTTTTCCTCCTTACTCCTCAAGTTGAGTTCGCCTGTTAACTCCGCCTAAAAATCGAATCATCTTGAATATTCAAAATCTGCTCTCCATGGGACTACTAACAAAACCACTAACATTGGTCCAATCAGTCGTTTAAAAGCACCAAGGTAAAGAAACGTGGGAATGGATTTTTCCCCAGTGTCCTGGACAGCCTTCCTGAACGGCGTCTACCTCGGCTGGCCGTCGCCGCTCATGGAGATCCTCTCGAAGCCGAACGGCGCCTTCACGGGCTCGCCGTCGGAGCGGGAACTGGAGTTGATGGTGGCCGCCCTGGACATGGGCACCATCTTCTCGCCGATCCCGTGCTGCTACCTCATCGACAAGTTCGGGCGGCGGCCCCTCCTCATCCTGGTCGGGCCGATGAGTCTCATCGGGTGGCTCCTCGCCTACTTCTGGGGCTCCATGACCTCTCTCTACGCGGTGCGCCTCATCCAGGGCCTCCAGTGCGGCATCGCCAACACCATCGTCCCGCTCTACATCTCGGAGATGGCGGAGCCGCGCATCCGGGGCACCCTCAACACCATCCCCGGAGCCGCCCTCAACGTCGGCGTCCTCTACGGCTACATCATCGGGCTCTTCGGCTCCTACGACGCCCTCACCGCTCTCTGCGTCATCGCCACCGTCCCCTACGTCATCGCCGTCCTCTTCATCCCCGAGACCCCCTACTTCCACCTCATGCGCGGCGAAGAGGACAAGGCCCGGGCGATCCTCGACTCGACCCGGGACGGCCTCGACGAACTCGAGTTCGCCGAGATGAAGCGCTCCGTCGCCGAGGAGATGCAGCAGAACCTGGAGACGAGTCTCCTCACTTCGCCCACCGATCTCCGCTCCCTCTTCACGGTTCTCTTCACCTACGTCGGTGCCACGTTCACCTACTTCTGGGTGATCCCCGAGTACGCAGCGCTGACCATCGGGCGCGGGACCCAGGACAAGATCATGTCCACGAACCAATTCGCGGTTCTTCTCGGTCTCATCACCCTCGCTGGCACGGTGCCGGCCGCCTATCTCGTCGACCGGATGGGCCGCAAGCCCTTGCTCATGCTCTCCTGCGCCTTGACCGCTCTCTTCGCTTTCGCCGCCGCCGTGTATTTCTACGTCCGCGAGAAGGACTTGGCCGACACGAGCGGTTGGGGCTTTTGCATCTGTCTCTTCGTCTCGGGGCTTCTGTGCTCGGCGTCGCTGGGGCTCGGGCAGATGCCGTTCATCCTCCAGTCGGAGTACTTCCCGGCCAGCTCGCGCGCCATCGCCGGAGCCATCGTGTCTGGTGTCGGCGCCGTCTTCAGTGTCATCAGCGCGCTCCTCTACCCGGACACGGCCAAGTCCGTCGGCATGTACTTCAACTACGTCATCAGCGGTGTGGTCGCTTCCCTCGTTTTCGTCTACTGCCACTTCGAGATGCTCGAGACCAGGGGGCTCACCTTCGCTGAGATCCAACGGCGCTTCGTGGCCAGAGCCGAAGGGATCGCCCTGTCGGAGGCGGAGGAGGACGAATGCGCCATGAAATTGCCGCCGTTCAAGTCCGACGCGACTCACACGAAGAAGAATCTGAGTGCGTGTTGACCCTCTTAGCTCCGATTGCCATTTCACAAGTTTGCAAAACTTTTTTTCCTCTACCTATCTAATTCCATGGAAAATATCAATTTTATGTGAAACAAGCTGTCTCGCCAAGAATCGATTGTTTTATATACATTCTAATGGTAGGAAAATGGTGTTCCCAATTTTCAAGAATCACCACTTTACGCAGCAGTACTGCCGTGCTAAGGAAAAAAACCGTATGAACCTTCAGCCGTTGCCAAATTTCCCTAGACACAATACGGATTTATCGAAAAGTTGTGTATGTTTTTCTTCCAATTTTTCGGACGACTTGTTCTAAAGCCTTGTCTCCACGGGCGTTTCATGGGATTTGTCCCAGGGAAAAATCTCACTTGCGAAGTTGGGAAAAATATTCAGTTAGTCAATACTAATCACATTACCAATTAAGAGTCCTTATGGAGTCCCAGGAACGATTTAAAAAGAAGAAAAAGAAACTTTGTTGTGTTGTTTAACGGGGAAAAATTCCTGCGACTCAAACTTGGGAAAAATTCCATGAAACGTGCCGTGGAGAGCAGGCGTAATTTAATCGAAGGTATCTGAAAATTTCAAGAAAAATATGCATCACTTTCTTTCAAAATACAGTTTTTATCAGGGAAAATTTGGCAACATCGAATGTTCAATCGGCGTTATTCCTATGCACGGCAGAATACTACACAGTTGAGGCAGCTCACCAGTCAAAGCCGCATTACAATTGATTTTTTCCAGGCACGGTGAAATGGGACAAAGTTTCCCGCGGAAAATAGCTCCTAAATTAATTGGCAAGATGAAAAACTCTGTGTACAGAACTGAGTACCTACGCCATGATATTTACACGCAGGAAGGATTTTGTCTGCTTGTGAGCCTCCTAAAATAGAAAATAGGAAAAAAGAAAGAAAAAATAATAATAATCTTCAAATATTGTCTCTAATTAACATATCGACGGTGCAAGTCCGTCACCACATATCTCGGGTTGCGACGTTGCAGACTTCCTGTCATACTTTATTTTTTAAATGAAAAACTACTCAAAGGCAATTTTTAAGAACTGCCTTGAATTTTCCTCTTAGTGCCAAGACATTCCGTGAAAACTTCAAGGAATGATGTCGGTTTGTTCGCCTTTAAAAAAATAAAATAGGAGCGGAGATTTTCCAACACTGCAAACGAGATACGTGGTTGCGGACTTACACCGTCGATATGCTCTTTTTCTTCACAAAATGTCATTATTTTTCATAGCCAAACCTAAAGATTAACGAGACAAATGTCCATGATTTTCTGGATATAGAACACTCTCCAGATATGCCCAGATATGCCATGGCTGTCTTGAAATTCTCAAAATTTAATTCAGGATATTCATTGTTGAAAAGCCTCGATTAAAAAATTCTGCCTTTTGGGGCTTAGGCGAGACCTTGGTATTCTTTGTGAGGAAGATTAATTTTTAAACGTATTTACCAGTGTTTTATAGGTTTTTTGATGATTCAATATAATATAAGTTAGGTTATAGTATAAGTTATAGTAGAGAAATCAACAGGGAAAATTGTGCTCTCAAACTTCCTCTGCAGTAGGTCATTGATTGAGATAAATACGATTGGGCCTCGAAATTATTAATTACATCCAACCGATTAGAAGCCTAGATCTGTATTCTATTGGCAATGAATCCTTTTTGAGTACCTATGTGATTGTGAGCTCATGCGATCTCATTTTAATTAACTCTGTGTTTAATTTGTTTTACTTTTGTTCATGCGTCTTGGTATGCACTTTTGTTGATATTTCCACAGTCTTGCTCGTTTTTTTTCTTTCTCCTACTTTTTTTTTAATTTCTATTCTATGTTGAAAAGCAAAGACTTATCTGTGTTCTAATTGTATTGTGTTTTGCTCAAGATAAATGTGATCTTTTTCTTCAACTTTGCATTGCATTTGACTGCATTTCGTATTATGTGCATGAATAAGGACTTGAGATGTTAACTTCTCATGACTACTTCCAGTGGCGAGGCGTGAAAGATCGATTATCGATATCTCCCTGTTTGAAGCTACGATGAGGAATCGATTATCAAGGTGTTCGTTGCGAACACCTTGTTTATTGATGCTTTTCCATAGGTTTAAATAGCAGACCAATCGATGTATCGCAAAGCACGCCGTACGCTACTGACTACTTTTTGCACGCAGAAAAGATTTTTTCGGTGTTCAAAAATTCAATCAGATGAAACATTTTGCAAAATCCCCAATGGTGCCATTGGATTTTCTCTGAAATCAACTTCTAAGCTCAAAAACAATTTTCAACGCTGAGGCTATCGTGGAGGGGATAACGGCTATTGTAGCCATCTTTATTTTCAATAAAACTCCTCATGCAGAGACAGAGCCAAAAATACATTGTAGAGTGAGGTTGTTACTGTCAAGTAAGACCCACGAGCTTCAGGATGGTGATAATTAGCCCACAAGCATGACAACCATATTAGGTATTCAACTTTGTATCTCTGCAATGAGAGTTCAATTAAATGCACATGCACACTCACAAAATAAGTAATGTACTCCATTGAGTACGGTTTCAATTTTGTGAGTTTTCATTGAGCTTGGGCTTTGCTTTTAGAGAAAACCAGATGCATTAACGTGTTTCTTACGGAATTCCACGTAGGCCTAATTTTAATGATGAAATGGACTTATTTCTATCAAACGGAACTATGTAAATTAGGACATGAGCCCTGAGGCCCATAAGAATATATGCATAACAGGGCTCACGTCTTAATGCACATAGTTCCGTTTGACAGAAATACGAGCAAATAAAAAATCCTCACTGCATGTAGGAACACCATTTTGATTATACAAAATCAGCTGTTGGCTGATGAATGTACGGCTCAACGGCTAATTTTGTATAATCACCCAATATTCAATTCTTATCAAGGGAGAAAGATAGGTCACAATGAAATGAGAATTAATTATCCTTCGGGCGCCGCGTTGGGCAGCAGAAAACGTTGAAAATAACGATCTTAATATAAACATAGGATGAACAATGTTGCCCCAAATGAAGTTTTCTCTCTCCGAAAGTAATTATTGAGAATCACTGATTTTGAGGTAGGTTCATCGAACTGATGGGGCACCTTCGACCGTTTTGGGGACAAGCCTGATTGAAATGAGCCCACGCTAATTAGCTGGTTTTTAATGACCTCGTTATTCAATATTGCATGTTTTCAACTGTAATAACATGACTTTCACTGGTTATTCAAAGAAGTTATATCGATTTTGAATAGAAGCATACTCTCTAATCAAAAAGTAGCAATGAATGCAATGAAAAAATAGCATTCAACTAAACTTCGATTCTAAATGCCTGATGAGCAAATTAATTCAAATGAAAATTTTAAGTCTTGCTCGCTTCCCACGAATCATTGATTATATTGATAATCTCATTGTGACTCATGTCATGCTCTCTCTTGTTTTTGTCGACTTCACTGGCGTGGAGTGCATTGCTATAAATCGATTGTTATGCCATTTAAACTTATGGAAAAGGATCGATAAACAAGGTGTTCGCAGCGAACATCTTAATAATCGATTCTTTACCATAGGTTTAAATGGCAGAGCAATCGATACATTGCGATTCACGCCACGCCACTGGTCAACATAGGCATTCGTTTCGATGGTTGCTCTCAATTTCATTAAAGCTGGAGAAAGTTGCGCAACCTTTTATCTCCATCGCGGTGTTTCAAAATTTCCGATAATATTGTATTTTTTCGACGAGGAAGAAAGACAACTTTATTGCTTGAAATGTATACAGAATAGTTCGCTAACAGAGAGGAAAAATCAAAGAAGTTTTCAAGAATCCACGTTGACTTGCCGTCCAAAAAAGAAGAAAAAAAAGTTTCAGGAAGTCTGCAACGTCGCTACCGGAGATACGTGGTTTCGATAATGGATTTATTTCTTATGGAAAAATTTATTTTTGTGTTATTTTGTTGTAAATGTATTATACAAATATATTTTACGCATTATTTTATACACAATTTTCGTAGGTGAGAAATGAACTCGATGTGTTAGAATAAATCTGGCTTTGTCTAATGATGGATTGTCTGTGTCTTCAAAAAATTATTTCGAGTGATTCTCTAAAGCGCGCATTTGCGAGGGTGAGGGGGGGAGTTCTTATGATTAGAAAAGTTACCAAAATTACCAAGTTCCGAAAAATTACAAAAAAAGAACCAACAAAGAAAAACGCGTCTTTTCTTCGATAAAATAAATTTGAAAGCCTGAAATTTCAACAGAAAAGGTTACAGAAATTCTACACGAACCCTGTTTCACTTCTCAGTACTTTTCATCTCGTTGCTGCCTCCTTCCATTTCTGTGAGTGGATACTTTGATTCGCGATACGAAACTCCAGAATTCAGATTTCTCTCATTGTCAAGAGACAAATTAGCCAAGTCAGGAAAAACATGATCCCAGTTTAAATTTTATTCGATTCGTCTTTAACTCGGATTCGGGATTTGAGTGATTATCAGGGGCCTTTCGCATGCTCGTCGGCGCAAATCATACTTAGGTCAGATAAGCTTCCCGATTCGCTTTGTAAGACGCAGACAAAATTAGAACTCACGGCTCGCAATCGCTTGGACTTAAAGATCTTAAGGTTTCTCGTATTATTCTAAAAGATTCAATGTATCGAGGCAAACGGCGCATTTACACTAAATCAGTGGAGTATTACTGAAACCTACAATCGGACGTATTTCTATCAAACGGAACTTTGTGCATTGAGGCATGAGCCCTGATACCCATAAGAATAAATGCATAACAGGGCTCACGGCATAATGCACATAGTTCCGTTTGACAGAAATGCGTCCAATTTTACCGTACTGTAGGGAAGAACACCGTATGAGCATTCGAATGTTGTCAAATTTCCTTACAGAAAATATTTATTTTTGAAGAAAGATATGAATATTTTTCCTTGAAATTTTTAGTAATGTTAGATCAAAACTAGCCGTTCTGGGCGCGCTTCGCGCGTCTGTCGCGGCTGGCAAGGAAGCTACGCCCCCTGGACCCCCGACCCCTGGTCACTCGCGTAGCGAGTGACATTCAGTCGCTCCGCGATCCATTCTTCTTAGTAGTTGGATATTTTATCACCATGATACATTTTGGAGGCTCTCAAGAGAAAAATGATTTCGTCTCAGAGATTTGTTACCGGAGTGCCCCATCATTTGCACATTAATAAATATATGGACATGAAGCAATGGTGGGAATTGATCATTTTTTCAAAAACGCATTTGACTGGGAACGTCAGTCCCATCGGGTGGAGGAAAGTGACAACCATGGATCTCCTTCCGTGATTTGACTCGCTGAAATAGCAAAAGTTCATCTTTACTTCTTAAGAAGATTATCGGTGGCGTAAGGGTCTAGAAACTGCTCAACGATACCATAGTTCGAGTTCCGAATCGCTATGAGCTCACCGCTGTTTTTTCTTATAGTTTCACTGCATATAAATTGCTCTGATGCTTTTGTTTTATTCTCTCTGATTGCAAAAGTAATTATATCATCCTCACATCATTTGCTCCCCCTTTCATTTTTCCCTTTTTGTGGCATCTGTGTCCATTTACAAGTAGGTATTATTTTAAAATAGCTATCCCTAAAATACATTTGATGCTTCAAACAGAATCAATTTGTTTTAATGGCATTTCCGGCAAAATCATGGGTTCTCCCAGAGAGGCAGCCTCCCGTCCCTCCCAGACTCTACTGTTGCCAGATAAGTTGCTTTTTCGGCACTTTACCTACCCAATTCAAACCCATGTTAAATATTCACTTATACCGCAAAATTTGGCAACCCCTCCGTACTCGAATAAAATATTGAATGAAGTAGGGGGGAGGGGAGAGGCGGGGAAGGGACACTTCCCCTCGAATGAAATAGAGGAAGGCAGAATCAATTAAAAGGTATGGAATCCTTCCAATCCTATATTAATGATACGTACAAAATTCTTTGAAAACCCGGAAGAAAAATATTTCCAAATTTTCCTGAAAATACATGAAGTTCAAAACAAATTTGGCAATATCGGCCTTCTAAGGCGTAGTGGTTGTAGCGCTTGGTCCATGATCGGGACTTCCAAGGTTCGATTCCCGGCCAGGTGACCCGAGTTTGATGGTCTCAAACAACAGTTACCTGGGGCTGGCTTGACTAGGGACGGAGGTGGGATGGGGTCTAGGGACGGTAAAGCGTAGGATTATCCCTCGTAGGATATTCGAAAAAAAAGAAAGAAAAAAAAATGTTTGAAGGCTCATACGACGTTTTCCCCTAACACGGCGGTATTGAATACCCGCTTAATGATAGCTGAAGTCGGAAAATTCGTATTGTAACGTTGCAAATCTCTATTCATGTTTCATTAAATTTCTTCGACAGAGGAGCTGAACATCTGTATTTCTGAGGCTTTCTGTGAAATTTCTCCTTCCATTAAAAACTATTCATACAAATATCTAATAGATAAAGGATTTTTTTCTTTTCTTTTAAAACATTAAGACGTAATCGTTGTAACTGAGTTACGCTTTTTTTACTTCAGCCATCGCCTTGCGGTATACTATCGGTCACTGACCCACGACAGTGAATCAGTCAGACCGCGTCGTCTGGAATTTGCCTGGTTTATTATAAAGTGCCCATCTAGGTGGGGAAATTATTAAAGTATTTTTTTAAGGTATTCCAGGATCAAAGAGGTTCGTTTCTGTATAGTCAGAGATGGAAAGTGAAATTTCACGTTTTGAAATTTCATGAAATTTCACGTGAAATTTCATGAAATTTCACAAGGCCCGAATAAATTTCAAAAAAATTGAAATTTGTTGATTTTTCAAAGAAATATTGTTACTAAGCCTCGGAAACGGTTCAGATGATCCTCCTGCTGATGCAGCAGAATATGGCCCACTAATGAGATGCTACACCCAAAGGAGGGGGCACAAGGGGGGTTTTAGAGAAAGTTAGCCCTAACCTAACCTCCAAACCAAATGTAAACAGACATGTACCCAGCAAATCGCGTGGCCGTGGACAAGATTATAAGAACATCACACCCTTTTAGAAACGTTTTACTTTAGTACTTTTATGTTTTCAGAGATGTGAATAATGGCGAAAAAGCCGAAAAGCCGTGCTCGAACTTTCATTTTTTTTCTAGAAGATGCTCAACAAACGAAAAGAGTAAAAAGTGCAATATTAATTAGTGTTTACCAAGCATCCAAGGGTGCAGTCGCGTAGTATCCAAGAGGATAGAGAATCCATAACAACCCCAAAAAAAATGTTTTTACAAATAAAATTAAAGTTACTTACGTTTGGAATTACTTGATAAAATTCAAGATGATTGAAAACAATCCATTTTTGAAACTGAGATTTCCGACTCTAAAATATATATGTTGGCAGTTTGGCACTGCTGAGAATAATCTTTATAGTATAATTGTTAAATATGTAGGACATTAAGTTGGTTCAGAAATATACCACTAAAAGTGCCGTTTTTTAGCATTACAATTTTTAGCATCAATTTCTCCAACGTTTCTCAAATAAAAGTCCCCCCCCCCTCATAAAAAAACTAGTATTTTCATGCCGATGCGTGGAGGAAATTGTTCTTGTGGTGGAGCGGAGGCACTCAAGTGTCAATGATGCATTACTTACGAAAATTAAGGACCCATGACTTACATAAGTGACATCTGACATGACACCGAAATCTTCGTGATAAAAAACTGAGCTGCTGGAAGAGTGGGTGGTGAGGTTAGGTTAGGTCAGGGGGGGCTGAAAAATCTCAATATCGAGAATCACCGTTTCTAGGCGTTTCTTGGCCTCTTGAATGTATCCTCAAAAGTTTCAATAAATTTCATGAAATTTCGTGAAATTTCATGAAATTTCACGCGTGAAATTTCACTCGAATAAATTTCATGAAATTTTCCATCTCTGTGTATAGTGCAGTCCACCGTCGGGCACTTCTCTGCAGTCTGTAAAAAAAGAATGTTGTATGGGCACTATACTTATGTTGAAAAGTTTTCCTTGGTGAACTTTTCACTGTGGAGTAAATTTATGAATATTTTTCCTCGATATAAGCAGATAAAAAAGTATTAGATTTATGATGTTTATGACTTATTGATTAATTTTTTTTAAATTAAAATTTTAGGTTAAACAAAAGTAATATATTTAAATTAAAAAAGCCTCTCGAAAGTCTGGAGAAGAATAAATTCGAATCACGCCCGATAACGTAACATATATTCAAAATCCAAAGGTTTTTTTTTTTCAACCTGCAGTATATCTTCCTAAAAATAAGCTCTGCGGAATTACATGATAAACCGCACAGAGTTCTCTTTAAAAGAAAAGAAAAAAAAAACATCATATTTTTTAGCGCATCAGAACTGACTTTTTTAAAGCTTCAGTCCAGAAATTTATGTAACATGGAGGTAATCAAAATATATTTACTTTGAAACGCCGGTTTTGCGACCAACAGCACTCTAATGTCATATTGATTGCATTCTAGCTTCTTTGAAGGAAATTTATCACACGGCAAAGACTGTAAGTGGTTTCTCTTGCGGTATCTGGAGTATCACTCCCATTTATCTGTACCATAAAACAGCAGGAAGCAAACTAACGAGTAATATGAACCGATATAATTTAAGTGCGGGTTTAAAGCATCGATATAGTCACATACGACAAAAACACAAAAAATCAGTGGGAAAACAAGGCTAAAATCGCAGTAAACACAATATGCAGGACGTTTCGGCTGGTTTACTCGGGCCTGTATCAACCGCTACGGCCCAATCAGCCCATACGGAAATTAGGACTGCAGTCCTAATTTCCGTATGGGCTGATCACACGCGTTTTAATGTAGTGGTTTTTTTAGCCTCGGTTTTAATTTTTTATTTGTGTTTTAGCGATTGATAAAGGCTCGGGCGACCAGCCGAAACGTCCTGCATATTGTGTTTATTGATTTTAGCCTTGTTTCCCACTGACTTTTTGTGTTTTTGTCGTAAACGTTTCAGGCTACCATTCCTAACCTCTCTTCGTCTTGTATAGTCACATATATAGACAGTCCGCCAAAGCAATAAATGGGAAAACCGATCGTCATTTCTTGA